GATTGAGGTTCCCGAAAGGGGTTTTAGTGGACGGTATCCTTGGGTGAAGGCTCAGACACTGTTGAAGTGGGTTCAGTTTACTGGGCTCATGGAGTTAAGGTCTACGGTTGGAAGCCCTGATGTCTGCTAGCGGCAATGAAAGCGAGGCTGAACCGCCCGTCTTGAAACACGGACCAAGGAGTCTAATTCTAGTGCAAGTCGATAGCTTTAAAAGCTGGAGGCGAAATGAAAGTAATGTTTCCCAAGGGTTACACCTGCAGGAAAGACCTAACCTTGGACTCGTTCCGATGGTTTGTGTTAGAGCACTTGGATTAGGACCCGAAAGATAGCGAACTTTGCTTGCACAGATTGAAGGCAGGGGAAACTCTGCTGGAGGATCGTAGCGTTGTTGACGTGCAAATCACTCGTCAGATGTGAGTAAAGCGGCGAAAGACTAATCGAGCTATCTAGTAGCTGGTTCCGTCCGAAGTTTCCCTTAGGATAGCTACGCTTATATGAGTTACGAACGGTAAAGCGAATGATTAGAGGAATTGGGGTCTTAATGACCTTAACCTATTCTCAAACTTTAAATAGTCGTGAATGGCTTGTTTCTTAATTGAACGTGCCATCGAATCAGAAGCGTTAGTGGGCCATTTCTGGTAAGCAGAGCTGGCGAAGTGGGATGAACCAAAAGTGAAGATAAGACGCCAAAAGACTCCTAATCTAGAAACCAGAAAGGACGTCTGTTCATATAGACAGCAGGACGGTGGCCATGGAAGTCGGAATCCGCTAAGGAGTGTGTAACAACTCACCTGCCGAATGAACAGGCTCCCAAAATGGATGGCGCTCAAGGGGTCTGTCGATGCTTCACCTTCAAGGCCTTAATAAGCTCTGAAGTGTAGGACGGCGCCTTGCTGGCTCTTAAGGCTGAATGTAAATTTGGCTGAAGCCGGCTCTGGTGCAGATCTTGGTGGTAGTAGCAATTATTCAATTGAGATCGTTGAAGACTGAAGTGGAGAAGGGTTCTACATCAACATTGATTGAATGTAGGTTAGTCGGTCCTAAGCATAAGGTTTAAGCTGATTACAGTCGCTCGCTTCTAGCGGGTGACCTAGCGAAAGGGAATCTGGTTGATAATCCAGAACCACGGGGGGGAGTTTCGATTGACGGCAACGTTAGCGTCACCGGAGACTGATACTGGTGTCCCACGGAAGAGTTATCTTTTCTTCTTAATGCACATAACGACCTGGAATAGACTTGTTCTTAGATAGGCCATCATAGATGCACCAGAGTGTACCGATTTTCGGCGCATGTGGTGTACACCAGAATCCTCATAAAAATCCGGCTGGCATAGAGAGCTCCTCTTTCGTGTCCGTACCATAATCCGCAGCAGGTCTCCAAGGTTAGCAGCCTATAGTTGAGAGATGAATGTAAGTAAGGGAAGTCGGCAAAATAGATCCGTAACTTCGGGAAAAGGATTGGCTCTAAAGGTGGAGGCGTTGAAGCGGGTGGTGAAGGCTATTTGAAGTAGGTTTTGGCTGGCAACGGCTGGGGCTTATGGACGGTGGTTGGAGCTGCTTGTACCCCTATCTCGCAAGGGATAGGTTCGGCGTCAATTAACCACTGAATTAGAACTGTTTCGGACAAGGGGAATCCGACTGTTTAATTAAAACCAAGCATTGCGAATGGTCTCAAACAGATGTTAACGCAATGTGATTTCTGCCCAGTGCTCTGAATGTCAAAGTGAAGTAATTCAACGAAGCGCGGGTAAACGGCGGGAGTAACTATGACTCTCTTAAGGTAGCCAAATGCCTCGTCATCTAATTAGTGACGCGCATGAATGGATTAATGAGATTCCCACTGTCCCTACTTACTATCTCCGCGAAACCACAGCCAAGGGAACGGGCTTGGACTAAACAGCGGGGGAAAGAAGACCCTGTTGAGCTTGACTCTAGTCCTGTATCTGTGAAGTGTCATTGGAGGTGTAGCATAGATGGGAGAGCAATCGATCTTGAAATACCATCACTTTAATCGATACTTTACTTATTCAGTTATGCAGAACGGAACAATAGTTCCACTTCTAGTAGAAAAGGTTGGTTACGACTGGCCTGATCTGTGTTGAAGACAAATTCAGATGGGGAGTTTGGCTGGGGCGGCACATCTGCTACAAGATAACACAGGTGTCCTAAGGGGAGCTCAGAAAGGACAGAAACCTTTCGTAGAGTAAAAGGGCAAAAGCTCTCTTGATTCAAATTTTCAGTAAGAATGCGAACCGTGAAAGCGTGGCCTATCGATCCTTTAGACGTTGAATGCATCATCCTAGAGGTGTCAGAAAAGTTACCACAGGGGTAACTGGCTTGTGGCTGCCAAGCGTTCATAGCGACGTAGCTTTTTGATCCTTCGATGTCGGCTCTTCCTATCATTCCGAAGCAGAATTCGGAAAGTGTTGGATTGTTCACCCATTAATAGGGAACGTGAGCTGGGTTTAGACCGTCGTGAGACAGGTTAGTTTTACCCTACTATCGGCG